ATTTCAAGGTCAGCAGCCCCGAGCGGCAGAGTTTTCGGCATTCCTTCGACGGCGACCTCTAACATGTCAAGACATTCGTCGTTGGAGGAAATGCCTCCTTTACTTGTGACTGAATCGCCAACACTTGACCAACGAAGACAACAAACAACCACCCTTCAATCTCCTATAAGGCACAACCAACCACCACCAGTGGGAGTAGTGACTCCCACTACACAGACAACCCGTCCTACACCAACGCACACGTTACGTTCCACTAATAGGAAGCGCACCTTCCAAGAGACAGTGGCTGAATCTGCCAAAGTCCAAGCAGAAGCCGCTAAAGTGCAGGCTGAGGCTGCAAAAAAAATGGCAGAAGCATCAATGCTGCAGGTGGATGCCACAAACAAATTAACTGCTGCAGTGGAACGCCAATCTGCAATTTTTGAAAAATTTTTGGAGTACTTCCGGAATTAATTTTCATACCACTATTGTGAGAGTATTGAAGTGATATTTTGTTTTTTTTTTTCTTTGTGTAAATTCTTTTTAGATTTAAGTGTGAATTGATATTTTGTTGCATTTACTTAGTTTATATCAGAGCTGTAAAATGATTGAATCAACATAGTCTGCATTCACTCGGCATTCCTTTCAAAATGTTGATTGTTGGTTTGTATAAATAAAAACTTCATTCCTGAGGCCACATTCCCCAACAAGGAAAAATTCAATGAAAACATAATAACATAAAATTGATGATTTTTAATTTCATATGATTTCACAGTTTTACAGCTCTGGTTTATATGTAGATTTAGGATTTAAGACTGAAAAGATATTTTGTTGAATTTTTACGTAAATATTTTATTAATTTTAAGACAAATTAATTTTGCTGGTGTACCTGAAATCTAGACACACATACTCTATAATAAAACTGCGTTTATAACAAACTCTCTGCTATTCTCATTCTAATAAGGGCAGCTGTATTCGAAATGTTACTGTTTTCAAGCTCTTCTTCGTAACTAACAAGATTCTCCATATCTGGGCTCTCCAATGGAATTTGATGTTTGGAAATTATACAAACGATATGAATAGCACAGCACACATTTACGATTTGTGTAACTTTTTCTGGTAAATAGTGTAGCCCTCTCGAGCCAATTATACATCGAAATCGGTTTTTCAAAACACCGAAATATCTCTCAATTACATTACGAGCTTTCGAGTGCTTTGTGTTGTAAATTGTTGAATTTCATCGGCTGCGCTTCTGAATGGCGTCATCAAGTATGGCTGCAAGGGGTAACCAGAATCACCTACAAAAATTTTAATTGTCAGTAATAGTGTTCGTGCCANCGTGCCCATATGGCAACTCTGTTTTGCTTTGTTATTCCAATGGAATAAGGGAAAATGGAATGTAAATAGTAGAAAAGGAAAATGTCATTAGTTAATATTCGCTTTTTATCTATCGTTGTAACCCGCTGTATAATTGAATAAACCGCTTTTAAAATCTAATATAATCCGCTTTTATATCACCCGCTTTCGTGTAAACTGCATTTATTTGCGTACAATCGGACTTTTGTAATAATACGCTTTTTCGCTTTTGTACGCAACATCTGGTCCTTCGTCCGGGATCGCGTTGATTAATTTGGGTCGAAATACGGTCCTTAAATACGTTGTAACAAGCTTGTTTTGGCTGAAGAACATTTAAAACCAAGAGCAAAAACGCTTATAAATTGATTTCCACGCTCTCGCTTGCATAAGTGCGATTTTAAGCGCAAATTTCGTAACAACATTTACACGTGTGTGACATAACCCCAATTGTATACATCACGCCATGTCCAAAGTGAAGGTGCGTGATTCTGCATTAAACGCAATCAAACGATATGTTGTAATCAGCAAAAATGATGCGTTGGCATTAGACAAAGAAGCAGTAGAAACGTATCTTCAGCTTCTCGAGGAGCAGTGGGTCAGATTCGCTGACGCTCAACAAGAAGTAGAGTTGTTGTGCGGCGAAGAAAGTGCGCCGGTTGAAGAGCAATCACGCACGCAGGCAGAAGAGTGGTACATCACAGCGAAGGCGAATTTTAAACGCCTCATCGGAAGCCCTGAGCAACCGCGCCCTTCCACATCAACAGGTTTCATGTCCTCGCCAGTTCAACTGCCCAAGTTACAGCTGCCGACTTTCAGTGGAGACCCTACAAATTGGTTAGCCTTTTTCGACGCGTTCCAGTCGCTCGTACACACGAACGCGAGTTTGTCTGCTAGTCAAAAATTGCATTATTTGCGCAATTGTCTTCAAGGTGAGGCGCTCCAACTTGTAAGCAGTCTACAGATTTGTGATGGCAACTACAATGCTGCGTGGGATCTACTCACCACGCGTTACAAGGTTTTGCGTGTCATGGTTGATGGTCACTTCAAAGCAATTTTTGCAATTGAAAAGGCATCTCGAGATACTGGTAAGGCCATTAAGCAAGTTTTAAACGCTACCATGCAACACGTTGGCTCGCTACGTGCTTTAGGTCGGCCTGTGGAGTTTTGGGACGATTGGCTTGTCCACCTTACCGTTTCGAAGTTGGCTTACGAAACCCGGAAACAATGGGAGCTGTCATTGGTGAGGGATGTTTTACCTACTTTTGAAGAGTTGGTCGAGTTTTTGGAAACACGTGCGCGTTCGCTAGAGATGGTACCGACGAGTGGTGCGCTGTCAACCTCAGCGCAAGGAGCGCGCCAGCTCAGCAAAACTGCGGCGAAGACTACAACAAACGTGCTCCATGCGATTGGTGAGCAACACACCTCCTCATCCAACCTGGTTGATGCAGGAGCCAGTTCACCCTCATGTTTCCATTGCAACGCCAAACACAAAATTTACGCCTGCCCAACTTTCCGTAAATTAAATGCTGCTGCCCGGTTTGCATTGGTCAAGAAACATAATGTTTGTCTCAACTGTCTGAGCAAAGGCCACTTTCAAGCAAAATGTCGCAGTTTATCAACTTGTAACATATGCCGTCGTCGTCATCATACATTACTACACGGCTGCCGCGAAGATGACACGACCAGCGATGAGCTGAATGTACACGCTTCTCCGTTTGTAAAGCAGCAAGGCAATCTACTTGTGCAACAATCGACTACGTCATCTACAATCGATGACTCTACTACGGCGCGTATACATAATGCTAGCTCGGATGTACCGCATTCTGGTTGCGTAGCATCTCACGTCGCTGAAGCTGACAAGGCCATTTTATTGGCAA